ATTATGCTAATTCCTATTCCCATTCACATTTTTTTAAAAGCCACCCCGGGGGCCACAGCCACGGCCACCCGGCCCCGGTAGGTCCCGTCCCCGTTGGGTGCCACGTCCTCGGGCAGGGCCTGCTGGGCGTCCAGTGGTTGTCCGTCCTTCAGCCACTTCAGGGAGACGTCCTGGGGGTAGAAGTCCAGAGCCTGGCACCGTAGGGTGGTCACCGCTGAGGCCACGTGACGGGTCACCTTTACCAGCGGAGGCGCTTGACAGGAAGGAGGATGAGAGGGGAGCTCGTCACCCTGGCCAGAAAGACCAGGGCTTTCACTTCCCTCGGGTCGGAGGAAGGAAATATTCTCTCAGGAAAAACCAAGCTGCAGGCCAGAGACCGTTCTGCTTCCTAGTACCTGCTCTGGGTGCAACCCGGGTCACATGGAGAGCGGCACACCACGGAGTCCCTGCGCTCGGGGTCGGCGCCCGAGTGTGCCCACGGTGTCCCTGCACTCGGGGTCCCTGTGCTTGGGGTCAGTGCCCATGGCATCCCTGCGCTCGGGGTCGGTGCCTGAGTGCGCCCACGGTGTCCCAGCGCTCAGGGTTGGCGCCCGAGTGTGCATGCCTGTCCCGTGCTCTCTGCTCTGACAGGCAGTCCCCCTCGTGGGGGGCTAGGCCTGGAGAGACAGCGGGGCTTCCTGACGGCTCCTGCGCTCTGCGAGAGCCACCGGGAGCCTCCCACGGCCATCTGGAAGGCTGCTCACTCGCCATTTGCTCGCCTGTGGTGACTGGCAGCCCCGAAGGCCCTTAGGGATGAGTGGGTACAGGGTTCTCAGCTGCAGCCAAAGAGGGCCAGACTTACCCTCTGGCCAGCGTACAGAGAAAAGGGGAAGCCATGCCCTATGGGGTGACGCACACCTCACTGTAAGGGGACCCCTGGGGCTGGGGAGATCCCTTCTCAGTACATGGGAGGGTCGCCCCTGGCCACCTTTGACGCTCTGGCGAGGGCCCTGGACCCTGCCCTGCCGTGCGCGCTGGGGCCGGCAGAGGCCCCTACCTTGCCGGTCCAGGACGCCACGCCCCAGCTCCAGCAGCCAGCGCAGCTGCTCAGGGCAGTCGCGCTCCAGGTAGTCCCTGTTCTCCCGGGCCCGGATCTTGTGCACCTCCCACTCCAGCTTGGTGGCCCGGGCCCCAGGCCCTGCTGCTCTCCAGTCCAGCGTCTCGGGGCGGAAGTCCAGGTGGTCCTGCCCGTCGTAGCCGTACCGCCAGAAGCCCCTGCTGCTGTGGTCCTCTCGCACCTCGCAGCCCAGGATCACCTGCAGGGTGTGGGACCCTGCAGCACCCCGGCAGTGTTGGTGAAGCCAGGGGAGCGGGTCCGGTCCCCACCAGAGGACAGAGGAGCTGGGGAAGCCAGCCCTTGCCTCTTCCCTGCCCCAGGGCCGACGCAGTTGCCCCCGTGAACTGATCCCCCAGGGGCTCAGTGCGCACTGATGCAAGGCGGGGCCCCTCCACACATACCCTTGCTGTGGTTCTGGTTGTCCATGATGGTCCAGAGGTCCACGGTGAACATGTGGTCCCACCCTTTCAGGCCCTGGCTCAGCTGCAGCCACTGCCGGCTCGAGGTTCCGCTGGGGACCCAGGGGGCACGGGGCTCGGCGCGGCGACTCTCGTGGTCATAGGACACAAACAGCTGGTCATCCACGTAGCCCAAGGCCTCAAACAGGGGCAGCCCAAGGTCTGGCTCCGAGGCTCCCATGAAGAGGTAGCGCAGAGAGTGTGACCCTGGGGAGAGAGCGAGGCCTTCACGGGGCGGCAGAGGCGGCGGGCAGGGAGGCAGCCATCCCATGGCCCAACAGCTCATGCCCCAGCCATTCCTGAGAACCGACAACCTGGCCTTCCCTCTGTGGGGTGGTCCTGGTGCTCTCACTGGTCACGACTGTGCCCAGGGGAGAGAAAAGCCCAGGGGTGCGCGGCCAGGGTAGCTGGCTCAGGAGTGGGGATCTCCTCTCCGGCGCCATCTCTGAGCCCATCCGCGTGCATGTGACAACAGCTGGGGCCTTCCCAGTCCGCCAAGTCCCAACCCTCCCGCAGTGCAGAGGGTGCGCGGCACATAGTAGGTGCTTCGTAAACACTCGTGGGCGAGGGCGTGATGACCCCTGGATTTTACCCTGCGCCCAGCCACCCACTCGATGCAACCACCTGGTCCCCGGCTGTGGCCTCCCCTAAACCACTCTTCCCCAGGGCTGAGCCATCTCAGGAAGGCTCAGGACCGCCTGCTGCTCTGCAGTAAAGTGAAGTGACAGACAATGGCCTGCCTGGCCTCGCCTTGCCTCGGGCTCCCTTCTCTGCTCAGGAATCCCGAACTGATCCAGAAAAGGGAAGGTTCTGCAATCCCCTCAGCTCCCAGCTGCCATCTCCACCTTCCTTCTGGACTAGACAGTCCGCTTCCTGGAGGGTGACCCCAACTCTGCTTCCCCCACCCTGCTCCCCCCAGCAGCCAGCGTGATCTGCAGAGCCTGTGCCAGGCCACACCCCTCCTCGCCTGGAGCCAGAAGTGACCAGGCCCGGTGCCATGCCCTGTGGCTCCTCTCCTCCACTTCCCCTAACCACCCGCTCCTCTTTCAAGAATAGGGGAAGGAGGGCCGGCATGTGGCATGATGGTTACGCCGCTGGTCTCCCACGTAGCTGACCACGGTTCAAGTCCTGGACCCAACAGCTTAGACTTCTTGCTGGGCATGTGTTCATGCATGGCCAAGACCCCAAGAGGAGGATGGAGAAGGGATTGCAGCGTGGCCATCCCCCGGGTGATTTCTCAGTTTCTGTCTCTCTGTCTCTCTCGTGAGTGCACGTGCCCTATACCAAAAATCTCTGTTAAAAAATAAGAATAAAGCAAGATTTCTGCCTCCCAGGGGACATTTTTTTTTTTGAGAGATTTTCATTGTAGGGCGCGTGCGCTCGCCAGACAGACAGAGAGAGACATAGAGACAGAAAGCGAGAAATCACCCCCCCAGGGAGGATGGTCACGCCGCAATCCCTTCTCCTCCATTCTCCTCTCGGGATCTTGGGCACGCACGCACACGCGCCCGGCGTGAGTTTAAGCCACCGGGTCCGGGACACGAACCGCGGTCGACTACGTGGGAGTCCAGCGACATAGCCATTACGCTAACTGCTGGTTCCCCCAGGGGACATTTGTCACTGTCGGGACTCCTTGGGTTGCCCCAAGGGGGGCTTGCGACCAGCCTCCAGTGTGCAGGGGATGCGTAGTGGTGAGATACCTTGCAGCGCGCCCAGTGCCCATCCAACAGCGCATCCCGCAGTGCGGAGACATGCTTTGGCCGGGTGCCAGGCCCACTCCTGGCTGCCTGTCCCCATTGCCCATCAGGCCTCTGCGGAAGTGCCAGCCTGGGGTGCCCTGACCTCCTGCCGCACGTGAATGTGTGGCACCCATCCTAGCCCTCACAGCCCTAACCTCGGCTGTTGGTCTCCAACAGTTCGGTTTTTTGTTTTTTTTTTTAGGTTTTTGCCATGGGGCAGGTGAGCTGAACTCGCCAGACGGAGAGAGACTGAGAGGGGAAGTGAGAAATCATCCCCGGGGGAATGGCCATGCCACAGTCCCTTCTCCTTTTCCACTCTCCTCTCGGGGTCCTGGGCACACAGGCATACATGCCCACAGTGATTTTTTTTTTTTTGACAGATTTTTGCTATAGGGCATGTGCACTTGCTGGGGAGAGAGAGACAGAAAGTGAGAAATCAGTCCCCAGCGGGGGCGGCCATGCTGCAAGCCCTTCTCCTCCATTCTCCTCTTGGGATTTTGAGCACACACACACACACATGCCCCGGTGGAGTCTCAAGTTCAGGGTTCAGGACTCGAACCGCCAACCACACCAACCGCGTAGGAGCCCTGAGCCCCATCCACTATTCAGTAGCTGGCTCCAAGCTCTTTTTGAGAGGTTTTTGCTATAGGGCACGTCACCGCCAGGGGGATGGCCATGCCTGGGAGTCCAGCGACATAGCCATTATGCCAACTGCTGGTCCCCAAACTCCTTCTTTACCTGTGGCCAGCGAGTACCTCTGTGGGAATCAGATATCCTTACTCAGCACCTCACCCGCTCACCCCATAGCAAAGTACAAACGACAGGGACACCATTGCTCAGGTGTTCATTCCTGTCCCTCTGCATGAAAGGCCGCGTTCACGCAGCACACGGCGAACCCGCTAGGCTGGGCTGACACACTGCCCTGCGTTCCGCTCCGCTGCTCCGAACGAGACGGGCCTCTCCAGACAGAACGCCCAGAGCCAGGGGCAGCCCTGGCCGCAGCCGGCCGCGTAGGGCCGCTCTGGTCTCACCCTCCCGGGTGCGGGGGACCGCGACCAGGGGCCTGGGTCGGAGCTGGAGCCTCCGCGCGCCCTGCGGACCCGCCCTGGGAGAGCACTTCCTCTTGGGGCGGCCCACACTGCGCAGGCGAAATAAGAAACCGTAAGCCCAGACCCGAGCCCGGGACCCCAGGCTGCGCGCGGCCCGAGCGAGGAAGCTGCAGGGTTCGTTCTTCAACGTCACGGTCGGGGTCAGAGGGTCCCAGAGCCGCTCTGAAGGGCAGGGGCAGGCCCTGGCGCAGCGGAGGGGCGGGCCGGGCCGGCTGTCCCCAGGCCCCGTGTCCCCGCGCGCCCGCCGGCTGGTT